ACTCCTAGCGGACTCCTTTCATAAGGTTTTACAGCCTCCTCCACAGTAAATAGATGTGGACACATACCGACAGTGGGTAGCCATTTTTCTATGATCACACTATCATCACTATGAAAGGTGGCCAGAGTTGTTTTTCTTTCCTACAGCACTATAGCTATGATTATGCACTTTAATCTTTCAATATCTAGCAGTAAGATTTTATGCACTGTAACTTTCTAATGTTTTTCTCCTTAAAGTTATCACAGTGGATCTTTTATGTTTCCTGATATTGGTCACTCCCCAGTTAGCCTCATATAACCTAGTCCATCCTTACTGATCCTCCACTGGTGGATAAATATACTGAATGACAACTGAGTGTTCTTTTCTCTTTTTTCTCTGAGTGCTGACTTTGTGAATACTGAATGTGTAATGGACAAATGCATGAGGTAAATTGTCACTCTATATGTTATCATTTAGTTTGACTAACTTACTTTATTTGGGTGACATTGCTAGTTTTCGGTAATCTTATTTTAATATATTTTGTTGCCTGTAGGGGCAGCGCTGTTTCTGTCTCTGTCATTAAATATATAACTCAAGTTAAAAGTTATTCAGGGATGCAACAGATGCATATGGTTGATATAAAATTTTCCTATTATTTTTTCCCCTCAAATATGTACCTTCATTCTTCATGACCCTTATGAAAGCCACAGACCGAAACACACGGGTAAATAATAAATCAAATCTTCCTGCCACAAGTGTTCCTTAACACCTTGGAAGTGGGTGAAGCTGTTTGTTCTTTTTCCAGTATTTAACAATCTATACATATAAGATAAATATGTATACAATACATATTAAATATGGGGCATGTGGATTTCCAAATAAGGAAAATCACTAAATTTGCAAAAGCAAATAACAGAAATCATATAGATGACATCCCAGTCCTGTATGGAAATGAGAAATCAAACAGCGTGTTGGCTTTACTTGTTAAAGGTTTCCAATTGAATTCAATTTTATTTATATATATAACCTTTAAGGTGTAGGTTTGTATCTACACCTTTAAGGAGAGCATTCCCTTTCACTGGTGCTTTGCTGAGAAATCTTTCTCATGTTTGCACACAATGATACACTGTGTTTAGCGTGCCTTATTGCATCAGACATGCAACACAGATGTTTCTTTCTTAATTGACCTTTTACCTCATGCACACAGAATGACACGTTGTATATTCATCACCTGGACCTCTCTTACCTTTCTCGACATGTATCACCAGTGTTGTAATAAACCATGACACGGGTTGAAACAATTTAATGCCCCATTTACAGAAAACGCATCACTCCTCTCCATCTCCACACATCAATAGCAAAGCACCTATTTGACTGACAGTTGGACCATGAAAGGTCTGTAACAATACTCAATTTAGACCATGCTTCTATAGCCTCCTGGGTTTGAGAGATATATGTACATGTATAAAATTACCACTTATCTAGTTCAATATCATCCATCTTTCTGCCTGCAACTCAGAAGGTAGAGAAGATTGTTTGATAATAAAAAGGTGAATAGTTTGATGCAAGTCCTTGTCCTTTTGCAAAATGTTGGGCAAATCCATCTGTGTTTGACAGCTGGCAAAAGGTGCTTTAAAATTTAAAAAGGCTTAAAAAGCCTACGTGTGAATGTATGTGTGAATTTGCGTGCTCAGTTAAAGTAGAAAAGTCAATTTACCATTAGTGGAAAAATATTTAGCTTAAGTGAGAATTTTTACTCTTCACCTGTGCATTTTGGTCACCTGTGCTGTTCTTAAAGATGTTGCCTCACTGGAGCATAAATTGACTTTGCTGCAAAAAATAGGTGTGGAAAATACAAAACCTATTTTTTGCAGCAAACTCTCACATCGACTTCTATGTTACACCCTGGCGATGAGAAGAGAGAGAGAGGGAGAGAGACAGGGAGGGAAGCCAATATTTGTTTTACTTTGTCGCTGTGTTTCCACCCTCCCTTTTTGTAGAAATGCACCCTGGATTCCTTTTGTGAATCACCCAGCAACAGACACATCACTTTGTCACCATCTTTTCAGTGCAAGCGGAAACCATTGCGCCGAGGCTCTTCTGGAGAGGCCAAGCAGAATCCTACCTGACTGTCTTACCAATGAAGAGCCAAAACCCATTCTGTGGGGTTGCTGTGTGTTACACATAACTGGTCCTGACAAAAGTCCCTCCCTCTGCAGCACCCAGAAAGAGCCAAGGCTTTTTAGGATTAAGACACATGGAAAACTGCAGTTTGCATTTGCTTTCCATAAGCTCTCGAGTGCAGAGCCAACAAACAATAGTGTTTGTTTTTTAAGTGTTAGCTTAGCGGGTATTTGAGTTCCTAAAAGCACTGAAATCTTTGGGGTGGAAAGTGCACTAACAATTAATGCAAGAAGCACAGAGTTTTTATAGACCTATTCTGCCAGTGGAAAAAAAAACATGTGGCTGTATTTACGAAGATAAAAATATGTTTAGCATAATAATATATAGATAGCATTCTTTTTACTGTATCCACTTAAGTTTGCCTAAAGATAAAGCTCTGCCATCAGGTGTGATTTAATTTTAACCACACCCGCTGTACTGTATATAAATGCTGGTAGGTTAATCCACCATTTGGAGAATTATGATGAACTCTTGACTTTTCTTCTAACACCATCATGAGGTTTATATTTAAAGTTAGGACTAAAATGTGTTGATGTGGCCTTGGTATACTTGAATAATCAGGTCAGTATTCTAATCTGTGCATTACATTGCTTTATAAGTGCTACACCAACATTAATATCACTGATAACAGCCTTAAATTTTTTACCGTGTTGACATACACGAATAAATCCCTGAGCACAGTAACATTAATGCTTGCTGAAAATCAACATCTTTGCATTTAATGTCAATGAGCTGTCATTTCTGTGGCTGTACGTCTCGTATTGTTATATTAATCTGCATGTAGTCATTCCAGATTAAGAAACTTCTATTCTTCAACAAGTTAAAAAATGTATGGCTTCAGGGGCATTTTTATAACAACTATAGAGGGATGTTACTACTACGACAAGGACGCTGAGGGAAAAAGGGCTTCACCAAACCAGGCATCAAAGCATCGGAGAAGTACTGAAATTGACCCGTGGCATATTTCTACATGGCTCTGTAAATATGTCTGAATTTAAAAATGCATCTGTCATCATTATCGCAGTCATCATCTGCATCGCCATTTTGTCTGTCCCGCATGAGAGATAATCGACTGTACAGTTTCAGAGCATTGCTTTTGTCCCCAGCGTCTCAGCAGCGAAACTGACAGGAGGCCAGCTGTCTACCCGTGTGTCTGCCTGTACTCTGCTCTTTATTACCACCACCTCCTTCTGTAATTACAAGCTCCAGTGCACACAAGCGCACCATCAGGTGGGGCCAGGGCCACAAGCACGGCACCAGCAGCTCTCATCATTGTGGCATTTTGAATTCCCCCCGCGTGTAAGAGCTGTAGGCCAACAGGAGGCACATCAGAGGTGCCACAGCCTGCAGGCCAATCAGCCAGCTGGGGTAAGAAATGCTACATTTTGTTTCATATCATTAGAAGGTTAGCTCACCCCTCATTGGTTCACCATCTGGGCATTCTTTCTTCCTTTCTCCCTCAGTGCTGTGGCTTCTCAGTACCGTATCAACACTGCACAGCCTTCAGCATGGCGCGCAGAGATAAAAAAGAACTGAAGATGGAGGCGAAAGATCTGGGTAGATGAACATGGAGGCAAGAGCAAATCGAGAAAAGTAGAGAAGTGTGGGAAAATAACATAAAAAGAAATTAGGCACATCGATATGACTGAAATAACAATATTAATATCAGAAAATATACACATATCATCCAGGACTTTAAGTATATTAAATTGCATATGATACCTTGTGATAATAAAGTGAAGCTGCTTTGATGTCAAAATTTACATAGAACGTCAAAATTGGGGCAACCGTGGTTCAGGGGGTTGGGAAGCTCATCTTGTAACCGGAAAGTTGCCGGTTCGATCCCCAGCTCTGTCTGTCTTGGTTGTTGTGTCCTTGGGCAAGACACTTCACCTACTGGTGATGGCCAGAGGGGCTGATGGCGCGATATGGCATCCTTGCTTCTGTCGGTCTGCCCCAGGGCAGCTGTGGCTACAACTGTAGCTTGCCTCCACCAGTGTGTGAATGAATAGTGGAAATGTTAAGTGCTTTGAGGGTCTCGAAAAGCACTATATAAATGCAATCCATTATTATTAAAATTGCACGGTAGAGTGTCACCTAGCAGTAAAGACAATGCATCAGTGTGGAAATATGCGAGGAGAAGTCATCTCAATAACAGTTTCACATCATCACAAAGGGAGGTGTAGAGTCTCTCTCTCTTTTTTAATCTGACACCAGTTTGGTTCTTACTCATTTTAACAACTCAAACTTTAACTATTAAACCATGAGCAAGTCTAATCTCCCAGTGAGAGCCGCATATTTTATCTCAATGTGGGAGTTAAACTCTGCATTAAGACTGCTCGTTTGAGATGTTCCACAAGGGTATTTCATTTTGGAAGACAGCGGGCTAAGAAGATTATAAGCACATTTTTCAATTTATCTCACACACCCTGACTCCTTTTATTGGCTGGGACCCTCTTATCATGTTTTGCCAGCAGCTAAAGCAGCCATTGGCATCTTCCACTGTATCCTCTACTTTGGAGTAGTTGCATTTGATGCAGTATTAGACTACACTTATTTTTACCCCGAGTGTGGCCTTTTTGAACATTTTGTTTCTCATAGTTGTGCATGTGCGTTATTAATGCGTTTCGGTGTTCTAAATGGCAACTTGATGAAATCAAGTTAATTCAAGGGATGACTTTGGGAAAATAGAGGATTACATAAAAGTGTTAAGTCTGTGTTATTCATCATCTGGACCTTGAGTGAGTCACAAAGGGAGAGAGGGGGAAGGGGGAGGTGGGAGAGAGAGAGAGAAAGAGAGAGAGAAGTTGCTGATGTTTAAAAAAACGGGAGAAAAAAAGCTGCAGGAGTAACGATATAAAACCTTGAGACAAGCGGATGCTCCTCTCTCAAACCCGCTGCCATCTCAGTGGTGGAAATGTTGGAGTTGGGGAGGGTCGACTTTGAGGTGACATTGACGCTATGTAGACGAAAGTGAGGATCCTGCGCTCCATGTTACGTCCCTGCTCGCTTCAACTGAGACGGCGGCAGCTCCTTTTCTCCGTCTTCTCTCCCCTCCTCTCTTTCAGCACCACTCCTTTAAGGACAGCACCTCGCTCTCAAAGACGCATTTGCCAACTATCCTCTCCCCTTTCGGATCATATATTCGCTCGCTGTCGCCGAATGCAAAGTTTTCACCGCGGTTTGACTCAGTGCAAGTGAAAGGAAGTTACTTTTTTCCAAAATCGGGATATTCCCCCCCGGAGAAAGAATCTGCAAAGTAGCGGACTGTATTGTAAGTATTCACTTGTACGGGGTGCAATTTACATAAATTCGAGAAAAGAAATGCATTTGTTACACGCGAGGACCATCAAGGAATTTGCCGTGTGCAGATGTGCTGAATTTGCGTAAGGATATGCAGCTGCGCGTGAGGTCGACGAAGACTTTTTACTTTTTTTTTAGTTTTCTTCAGGAGCCATTAGCATCTTCTTTGATCTTTCTGTTCTACAGCCACATTTCATGTATGTGAAATTTGAATCTGTGTTTTGTAGATTGTGTAATTTAAATACGCAGAAAATGCACAAGCAGTTCTTATCGCGATGTCTCTTAGATGCAAAATGTCACATTAACTTGGAATAGAAGTGGTGTATTTTTATTAGTAGACTGAAATATGAAAAAATAACACTAGCTTCCATCTGTAAATGCAACCCCGGTACCCCGCTTCTCTCAATTACGCACAAGGTAATAAGGGAGCACAGAGAGCGCACTCTCTGCTCACCATTTTAACGGTCGTTTATTTTGCATTTAAAAATGCTATTTAAAATACAAACAGATGACGTAGATCTTTTACGTTTATTTACTAATTTTTTTGCATTAACTGAAATAACTATTGCAAATTAGAACTCTATTCCATGGATATTTGATGTAGATCTATATTCAAATTGCAAATTCTGGTGAGTTATTAGCCTCTCCAGGTGATTCACTATCGAGTCTGATTTCTAAATGTGTTTAATTGCTTTTCTCTTGTAAGGGAGCAGTGAGAAGTGGGCCATTGAATTTAGAGCATAATGAATCAAGGACAAGAGCAGGCTCTAAATTTCTGCTAACATGGATTCACTCCAGGCAATTAAAAGTGATTCATATTGCATGAGAAGCTTTTATTTGATCCCGTGGGATTCACAGAACACGGGACAGACTTTTTTGTCACCCCTTAAGAAATGTCACGATATATATACATGTATAAAGAGAGAGAGCTAAATAGATATAATTTAATTCAATCTGTCATTTAACAGAATTTTTTTAGGAATATTTAATTCCTCTTTAAATGTTTTTTTTATTTCACCCAAGGAGTTAACATCCACAGTAATTATCGCAAAATTAATCCCTCATTATTATTAGGACATTCGTTTTAAGGCTCTATGCATATATATTTTGAATAAGTATATTTGCATTCAAAGCAACTAACAATATCTAATTTAGGAATGTCACTTTTTCTGTGAAATTTATAACTATATTATTGTTTTTGTTTTTTAGGGTCACTGGATTGTTGCTAAGGTCCTCGCCTCGCCTTTTCTCCAAATCACTCGCTGTACCCCAGTTTTCGTTTTTTTCCCCCTCTCGGCTGTTGTCTGGGAACTGGAAGTACGGGACGGATAAACTGCTGTCTATCTGGACCAGTGCTGAAACCCCCTCTTCTCCACTGGTCAGGACTGTCCGACGCACACCTCGACCATGGCTACCAACGGGACCAAAGCCTCGGACGGACACGTCTTAACGGAGACGGTGAATGACGCGCCCACCACCACGCCAAACGACAAACCCAAAACCTTGGTGGTGAAAGTGCAGAAGACGAAAAAGGAGATACCCGAAAGAGAAACGTGGGGTGGGAAATTTGACTTTCTCCTCTCTTGTGTCGGATACGCAATCGGACTCGGAAATGTCTGGAGATTTCCTTACTTATGTGGAAAAAACGGTGGAGGTAATGAGGAATTCTTGGCAATTTTCAGATATCCACACACCAGAAGGAGCGCAAAGATCTCGACATTAAAACCTGACAGTTTGCCCAGGACTTCTTTATTTATAACAGATATAAACTGCATGTCCAGTATAACCGTGCGTAATTGCGCACAGACAAATAGCTGTGACGTGATCTGGGGCGCAGAAACAAAACACCCCTAATATGTTTTATTGGATTATGTTGAAAATTATTAGCATATCCTTTGTCGTCATTTACACACCTTTACTTCTCACCTTTCATTCAGGGGCCTTCTTGATTCCCTACTTTTTGACCCTCATATTTGCTGGTATGCCTCTGTTCTTTCTGGAGACGGCTCTTGGTCAGTACACTTCTATTGGAGGTCTTGGAGTGTGGAAGCTGGCTCCAATGTTCAAAGGTAAATTATATGTATTGTTAAGACTTGAAACTAAATTTTCTAAATAACTACTTTATTTAGGCATTCTAAGTGGACTTACATGTGTTCCTCATTTTGTTTTATTCAGCACAATTTGACATCACACCTTTATTTTCCATTGTTTCAGGTGTTGGCCTGGCTGCTGCTGTTCTGTCCTTTTGGCTCAATATCTATTACATTGTTATCATTTCCTGGGCTATTTACTATTTGTACAACTCCTTCAGTGCTGTGAGTATTTGAAATTTAAAGTCCTACATTTCTTAGCAAATGTAGTAACAGGGCACTAATTCTGAACCTTTAAGGGCCGAGATTTTCCAGATATAGCCCTGTCTGTATTGTTAGTACTATTACTTTCTAACCCTTTAATCATGAGGCAGGTGCTGTTTGCCAGTATCTCTTATATAAGGCCTCACAGCCCTTAACAGAGTATGACATTTATTACTTCCTTTCCCACATAATTAGTGCCTTACACAAGGTATTGATAAATGCATTTGGCGATGAAGCATTCACTGCTCTGAGAAAACCATGAAATCTCAGTGTCCCGAATGAGTATCGTGGTCTTGGCAGCTTGACAGCTAGAGAGAATAGGCAGTGGGAGAGTGCTCCAAATAAAAGAACCTGTGTGTGTCTGTTTGTGTGCGTTTTCCTTAAATTTCAGGATTTGCCGTGGCAGACTTGTGGAAATAGCTGGAACACAGAGCGCTGCTACACCAACTACAGCATCACAGACACCTCAAACCTCACCAGTGCCGTTGTAGAGTTCTGGGAGTAAGCTGGACATTTCAGTTAATGTTATTAATAGGTTTTAACTGCATAGTAAGGTTAGAGGTTCCCTTATGTGCATGATCATTACATCATGGGTCAGAGTTAGATATGGCCATTTGCATATGATGACTCAGTGGCCATATCCGTTAATAGCAATCTACCCAGAATATCAGCAGAGGAGGAAAATCTGTGCACAAATGGATAATGGATGAGAAAAATAACGTGTGCACAGAAGCACAACTTCCTTTCGCTATCATACCTTTAAGCTTTAAGGATGAGAAAAAAGCCATCAAAAGACTCTTTGTGAATATCCAGATGCATGTAGGCACATTTGTGTATGCTTCCATGCATGCTACATATGTGACATCAAGGATGCCCTTGTGTATTGTAGTAAGACCCCTTTACTTCCCTCCAGACGAAACATGCATCAGCTGACCGATGGCCTGGAGAAGCCTGGGGAGGTCAGGATCCCACTGGCTATCACACTCGCCATAGCATGGGTCCTTGTCTATTTCTGTATCTGGAAGGGAGTCAGCTGGACTGGCAAAGTAAGTAGGAGAAGAAGGTACAGACATCAGCATAAACAATGAAAAAGCCAAATATAGAACTGGAACAACAGAACTTTAGATTATTGTTGAAATAAAGGGAGTTACTCACTTATTTTAGAAATTTTGTGTAATTTCCTGTTAGTGTGGGAAAAGAGCTTCACTGGTACACTGTCACAAAAAAGTTAAAAATCATACAAAAAGATTATACATGGACACATAGGCTATCCCTTTGGAATATCCTTTTATTATAAAGTATGTTGTGTTATATAAGTACCAACATTTTGCACAATGGCAAACAGCCCGACAGAGTTTGCATCATCTGTACACTGAGCTAAAGTATGAGATTTCTATTTGCTGTTGCTTGATCTTTATTTTGATGTCTGTTTTTTTCAGTATGGCAAAAGGAGTTTCAACAATTTCCTAACTTTCACAACAAGATCCTCTGCTGATTCATTTTTATGCAGTAGATGTTATCTTGGCTGGCATGATTAGTGTTGACTTTGACAGCACAGTCTGAAATTAGTTCAGATAAGGAGGGAAATAGTGCGCCGGGAGCGTGCTGAACCCAGTCTTTCTGGGGTCACTGTGCCTCTGGGAGATGGTTGACTAGGGCACTAAGCTGCTCTGTGTGGATGGTGCCTCAGTAACACAATAAGTTGATGAGATTAAGAACTTGTCGGTTTTCAAACTGCGCTCTTGCCTCAAATATTCTCGGGAGATCTTAAAGATGGCTTAGAGAGATTATTTTGCAGTAATCACGATTTTGTGCCCCGTAGGTGGTGTACTTCTCTGCCACGTACCCTTACTTCATGTTGTTCATCCTGTTTTGCCGTGGTGTCTCTCTGCCCGGTGCCATTGATGGAATCCTCTTCTATATCACACCAGACTTCAACAAGCTTAAGGAGTCTGAGGTGAGCTCGCTGCTCTTTCTGATCACGAATACATGTAGATATTCTGCAGCAGCAACCAAAATTAAGGTTGCTGCAGAGTATAAGATGAGCCCCAACTTGATGTGTTTTGGTTTTTGGGGTAATGTTTCAGGGTTGTTGTTTTTTTTAACATTATGTAGGTCTCTGTACCTACATGAATGGATGGGAACTAATAAGTCAACAAGATTCCAGATACATTTTCAGTGATTGCAGAGCTTTAACGTGAATGTCTGTGAATGATGTTTATAACCATGATTGTTCATTGCAAGTACCATTATTAGCACAGTTCACAAATACTTTCTTTTACAGTATTGATTATGAGATAATGTGTTTATTTCTGTAAAGACTGAGAAGCTGAGGTCAGATCACGATTCAGTGATTTGACAGTTGATCAAATAGCATCAGGCACGACAAAACAATGCTGAGGCGTTACAGTGCAGAACAAACAGTTTCCCTCTTTCTAGCATTTATGCACATGCTTTCATCAGAGAAAAGAGTCCTGATAATCAGTAAATGAATATAATCCTGGCCGGTTTTTCAAACAAAAATCTTCTTTTAGCAGCAATTTTTGCACAAGCACACTTACTTGAACCTCTTTTCTGTCTGTGTGTCAGGTGTGGCTCGACGCTGCCACTCAGATCTTCTTTTCCTACGGGCTAGGATTAGGCTCTCTGATTGCTCTCGGCAGCTATAATCCCTTCACCAACAACGTATACAGGTAGGTGAATAAAATACTGTTTCTGTTTATTTACAGCTTGAATTAAATGCCTGTTAAAAAATTACCATCTAACACCACTCACTCATATCATTTATTTATTTATTTTTTATATGGAGACCGTGCAGATGTCTCTTCCTGGGATTATTTTTGGTTTCCGTGACAGCATAGTGTCTGCAGTTTGTTCTATTTTGGGACTATTTGAGCCCCCTGTTATATCAGTTGTTTCATTATTTTGGCTCCACATAGTGTTTTAGATTCAGGTACACACATTTGGTGACTGTCAAAGGCTGTCACCTTATAAAATAAACACTGGCCATCTGCCCATTTGTCTCTCTAGTCGTAAAACTGCTAGAACTCACTGCCGTTTTATAAAATCAGGACATTATCAATGTATTCAGCTGTTGTGCCACTGCCAGATGCAAAATGGCTTTCCACCTTTCCCTTTCCACCCCACCCCCCACCACTCCACTCCCACAAGCCTCGCCACAATGTGTGACGGGTTGATAAGGAATTGATATAGGCGTGACAATGGCTGCAGCGTGCTTTGTCTCTCCCCTACAGAGATTCTGTCATTGTCTGCTGCATCAACTCCTTTACCAGTATGTTCGCCGGCTTTGTCATCTTCTCCATCGTGGGATTTATGGCCAATGTGACAAAGAGACCCATCGCTGATGTGGCAGCCTCAGGTAATTGCAATCAATGTTGAAACTCAATAGTAATAACAGACACAGGCAAAAGATAATATGACTACAAATACGGTGCAAAAAGTCAGCCATTGCAGCTGCTATAATTTTGAAGGGACAAATGATTTTTTTTACACTGTTGGTCCAGATTGCTGGGATTATTAGAAGGGAAATACTTTGCAAAAACTCTCTGTACTCTCAGTCCTTTACAAATACTCAGCTTTGACATTCAGTGTACTTTTTTCTCTCAATGACACTTCGAGATCAACTTCTTTTTTTTGTTTCTTCTTTTATCAAGTTTTACACTTTCAGTACTGTCATATGAGCCCAGTTTAAATTTATTGTTTTGACTTCTTCAGTCAAAACCAGATACTTTTAGCTGCTCCCTTATTCACAAGGAGTCACCACAGTGGGTAGCTCCCCATGTTTGATTTGGAAGATCTTTACATCTGATGCCCTGCCTGATGCGACTCATATAGAGTAATCTCCCAGGACAGGAATCAGGAGCCTATCACTTGTTAGGCAATTGTGAAAGCCATTACACTATGGAGCCACTACGTCATAGCCAAATACCACATGTTTTATTTGTGTCCCACTGTCAAATACAAATCACATTATCTCTGATATTTATCTTTTATCAGGACCTGGCTTGGCTTTTTTGGCATATCCAGAGGCTGTCACCCAGCTCCCCATTTCCCCTCTCTGGGCAGTGTTGTTTTTCTCCATGCTCTTGATGCTGGGAATTGACAGTCAGGTAAAGATATTTCAAGAAAAAATGTCTCCTTTTACCAATATGAAATGCTTTCTAAAATACTTTTCTAACCTTCAAATAAAAATGATCTAAGTTTTCAGTTTGATACTGCACTAATGTGCCAAAAAACTTACCATTGCTCTTTTGCTCAGATACTAAACCTTAGCAATGTTTTTATTGTGACAGAAATGTATTGTGTAACAGTTTCAACCTGATTCTGCAATATCTCCAGTTCTGCACTGTGGAAGGCTTCATCACTGCCCTGGTTGATGAATTCCCCCATGTCCTTCGAAAGCGTAGAGAGATCTTCATTGCAGTCGTCTGCCTTATTTCTTACATCATTGGCCTGTCCAACATCACACAGGTGAATATGAATGTGCACTAACTCTGAATGTGCAGGCATGTCAAACATAAGGGTTGTGGGCCAGAATCGGTCCTACAAAGCACCCCCCATGGCCATTCATGCTGCACCACTGTAATTAAGTAACAAATTATTAAATAACAGATTTTTTTTTTTTTACTACTTACCCTGGAATGTCTGTATTTTACAGTAAGTCCAAAGTAAAAAAAACAAAACAAAAACAACAACAACAACAGGTCATTTAATAGGACATTTTCTGTGAATTTACCTTCTGTTTTATATTTACATTAACAACAACCAGACATTAACCTGATCAATGCCTGCATTTGTTGGGTTCATCTTTACACTTTGTAAAACAGTCATAGGGTCTAATTCTTGAGACTAACATGCCAAACTGATTCACAATATTTAGTATTTACTCGAGTACAAAAAGAGATCCCCCAACATCTACTAGCAAGATTCCCATGTGGTGTGATCTGGTCATTAAGGGCTCTGATTTGCATATCATATCAACATATCCTTGAGAAATGATAAAATGGCTTTAGTCTAGTACACGTTCTCTTCAATTTCTAAATATTCATTGAAACTGCTGCGCATATTCAAGGAGGAGGAACCCCAGCGCTTTGTTAATCACATCATAAGGTCACAAACAATTTATTAAAGTAACCTGACTGTCCGAGGAGGCGAATATCCCAACGTTTTCTCGACACATTCATTCTCCTTAGTGAATGAGCCTTTGTAGACAATTCATAAGCTTCTAACATGTCACCTTTACACTCGGACTGTCTACTGATTTCATTTTCGGGGCACATTTATCCTCCCCCAAAGGAAAACAGCCCTTTGTTTCTCCTGACCCCACATTCGCTGCTATTTCTGTACTCTCAGGACAGCCATACTTTGCAAATGTGATTCAAAAGCTTAAGTTGTTCCAAAATCACTAGTATATTTTATTATTTCCTCAATAATTTTAAGTCTTAGCATTTCAGTATTAGTCACAGCTCATTTATGAGTGAATGACCTCTGTGTACAAGACAAATTTTCCTGGGGCTTATGCACAGTGCGCCATTTTAATCCCATTTTAATCTACAAGAGCTGTTTTAACCCAATTATGACTGTAATTAAAATAGGTGTTTTAGTCTGTTGAAGAGAAATGTCATTGTACTTAATCATTTGTCTTTTCTACTATGCTGGATTTCAGATTTGAGTAATAAAATGACATTTGAGGGCTTAACACAGTTCTATAAACTATTGTTTACACATAAATATTTAGCTATCAAAGTTTATTTGAATATATTGGAATTCCAAACTCTGCTTCTTCAATTGACACTCTGAGTCATTTTCCTCAGGTAACATTATGCTAAAAACACTTCAAAGATTTGCATCAGTTTGAAATGCAAGACAAAGAAAATGATAAGCAAGAAAAAAAACCAACGTGTCAGTAATATGCAATAAAAGCTTCTGCATCTCTTGAGCTATGACAATTCAAGAGCCTGCGCTGTTCCTCTATTCCAGTCACATTGGATTTCCATCATGCTACATGCACAGCACGTTATTTTATGGCAGTTATCCTAATCGCTGTTCCAGGCAGTATGAAGTATATCAAGCTTCAAAATGTAGAAGTGGACAAACTCCAAGAAGTCCTCTTGAGCTGGTCCCTAGAATGACTTGATAGCTGCAAGGCACTAAATGCTGGCACTGTAGAAATTTGAGCCATATTGGTACTGCGTGCACTGCACAGTAGGAGAAACACAGCTTTTCACAAAGAATCCATTTAGAGTTCTGAGTTCATCAGTTGGATGTTTAACCATTTATTCTCACTCTTGATGTTACTTCACTGCACTAGTTTAATACTCTCCCGCACATGCCTGTAAGTGCTTTTTCCATTACTTCTCCTTTCTCATCATGTTCTTTGCCTCTGTTTTCAGGGTGGACTGTACGTGTTTAAACTGTTTGATTACTATTCAGCTAGTGGGATGTCCCTACTCTTCTTGGTCTTCTTCGAATGTATCTCAATCTCATGGTTCTACGGTGAGCCAAACAAAAAGGGTTTTTTTTCTCCATCTTAGAACAGTAAGTGTTTTCTGTCTTTTAGCTGCCAATTTGGTGTCGCTACAATGCCAAGCTTTGACATCTAAGACTCAGATGGGAAACATATAAATCCACAGTGACATAATGATAAAAACAGCACTGATAATGTTTTTGGTTTTTTTGTTCCAGGTGTGAACAAATTCTATGACAACATTGAAGAAATGATTGGCTACAGACCATGTCTCTGGTGGAAGGCCTGCTGGGTTGTCTTTACTCCACTCGTTGTGGCTGTAAGTGCGGCAAGCACAAACATAACACAAAAGAAAAATAGTACTCCACTGTGGTCAGTATTTTATTTGAAGGCACTCTGTATATTGCAAATGACTTGAACCATACATTTAAGAAAAAGTGTGCCATTGTTTGATGATTGCTTCTCTCTCTGGCTGGAGTCTATTTCTTTTCACTGACACTTGATTTAATGCTTGTGTTAACTTGCATTTAAGCACCATCATCCAATAGTGTGTCCCAACCACATCTGTATAAGACAATATAGGAAATAGTACAATTTGCAAAACTCTTATCTTAGCTTAAACATTATGCAGTTTGGTAGCATATTTGTAAGCATAATTAGATCTTTTCTCTTGTTCCTCTTGCGTACAGGGAGTCTTCTTGTTTAGTGCAATACAGATGGTTCCTCTTACTATGGGCGACTATGTGTTCCCTGCCTGGGGTCAGGGGGTCGGCTGGTGCATGGCCCTCTCCTCCATGATTCTCATCCCTGGCTACATGGGCTACATGTTCCTCACACTCAAAGGCACATACAAAGAGGTAAGACAAATATATTAATGCTTGACTTTTTTAATTGTATTTCACAAATTGTTATAATTGCCTGCTTTACACTACAAAAATTAATATCCTTTTCTTGTTAAGAAAGGAAGTGGGATGTTATTCTTTTTAAAGCTATGGTATAAATGCCAAGAGTGTACGGCTGACAAGTAGCTAAAGATAAACCAGCGTATAATGCATCACTATACCCACCTCTGAGCTTTTCACACATCTAGTAGCTTTACCCTGGACTCTGCAGCTGAATAAGCCACACTGAGTGTTTCAAGTGGATTACTTCTTATGCATGATTTTTTTGCACAAGCCGAACTGATATTAGCTCATACAGGATGTAAGGCGATCCTATATGCAGATAAAGAAAAATACAAGCCCAAAGGATTTAGTGAAAGATCCATTTACACCATGTACAGAAGTTTAGATAAATATTTAGGTCACCACAAATGCAGCCCGCTTTACCAGAATATACTAACCCATGAGCTTTATTACCTTTACTTTTTATTAATTTCATAATGGGCAGCTTTGAAAGTACTATGAAAGGATTATAATTAAGGGCCAAACAGAGAACCTGTGCAGGCACCAGCAGTCTTCTATTCTCCTTCTTCTTCTTTGTCCACTGGCAGTTCCCTGATTCTTTTTACCGAGTTTAATGGCTTTGCCACGAGTGCTCTAGGGCCACCAATGGTTCAGATTTAGCGGTATGTTTAGGCACATAACTTTTAAAAAACACAAATGAGGCAAATTAGCTACTCGTGGATTCCAAAGAATCTTAATATCACCATAACTTTGGGACATCTCATGAGTACATATTCTAGCATAAGGATGTTTATTCTCAGTGCATTCTTGTTCTCCTTTCCTAAGTCCTTATGAATTCTGATTCTGAAATGTGATTAGGTAAAAGAGATAGGATGTACTTTTGAAACACAGCCAGCAATGCAGCAATCACATTAAATTGTCAGTATATTACGCCTCGGGAGTGAGAACGGGCTGCATCTGACCAGTAGACGGTCGTACAATAATAGTAAAAACAGAAAAACATAATCAGAGTCAACCAATAGGCACAGAGGGCTTCTATTTCAGCCTATGCTTGCTCTGTTGTCCATTCATCAGGTCTGGCTGCACAAACTAGGCTCAAGGACTCAAATGGAGTTCACACAATACAAAGCATCAGACAAGTGGGTTGATTGTCACAGAACTGCTGCTGAGTTTTCCTTATGCCCAAGAAGGTCTCCTAGTGCCTCATTTCAGTGAATAAAAGAACAAGACATTCAGACAAAATTGGCATCTGCTGGGAATTTGCATGTGTGACCATCAATATTGCTAAAAGCTATGTCAACGCCTATAAGAAGGTACAAACTTGCAGTTTCTAGTGTAAAGCTATAGAGCTGATCAGTTCTATACCTTTAGTAGTGTTTTGTTTTTGTATGATGTTGGACGAAAGAGATATAGGACATAAACAAGAATTTTTGTGTGGTGTCTCTGGAAGGCCCCAAAGCCAGGATATGTCTCCTTTTCAACCTAATTGATGCAACCACCATGAGTGATTTCATTGAAAGGCTACATTTTTTTCTGATGTCTACAAATATTGTCAGAGGTGATCTTCAAAACAACCCTCTCTAAAGTTATCACATGGATTTTGACTTTTCTATCCATTTGCCCCTTACGGACAATTGATATAAAAAAGGAAATCATACTGTAGCACAGCATCTCTTTCATAAATTAACATCAGTCTTGGTGTACACACTATGCACTTTTTTCTGAGTCCCTAGAAGCCATGCAAATGGTAAAAAGAGGTTTTATTTTCAATCAGTGCTAACAGATACACCTTTAACATAATCAGATCAAACTGACATTGTGACTGTACCCTGCTGAACTTCTTGGCCCCCTTGTTGCCGCTTGCAGCTATGTTTTGTAATTAATTTTGTAATTTAGAAGCCAAAAGATGCTCCACACTGAAAGGGAAAAGGATGAGCATAGCGAGTGTGACTTTGCTCCATGCATTAAAACTGTACAGCACCACTGTAATTCAATGGTTTTATAATAAGTAAAACACACTAGCATCCTGGGCAAAGTAGTAAATTGTCATGAAGCGTAGAGCGGTGATAAAAGGATTAGTGAAATAGATTTTTAATTAGTTTTGTTAAATAATTTCTGATAGCTGTGTGCTGTAACAGTGACAATGACATACAACAGCCATGAAGTCCTTGGTAAATGACGTTTATACGCAGGGCAGTGCCACGCTGCATTTTTATTGACCTGATGTTACTAATCACTGTAAGAGAATACCTTTTCTGGTATACCATTTACATTAACAACTTCTTGATTTGCAGTCATCCACAGTGAGCCGAATAAGCAGGCTTACAGATAGTCTCTTAGTCTCCTCTGACAGATATAGCTTTATAGTCACCACTGACAGAATAAATGGGCGATAATTGCAGACAGTGGAACAGAGGCTATCAGAGGCGATGTGCAGGCGTCAGATCCTGCAGTAACAGCTGATGGCTGATTGTCTAATTGTAGCAATCAGCAAGTTGATTAGTGCTCTGCACCCAGGCGAACACTTAGTTTCACAAACACTCCATAAAAATGTTGACTGCAAAGCCCTGTTCTGACGCTGCATAGCTGAGAGCATTTTTTAAAGATTTAGTAAGTTTAGTAAGTTTGGCCCATGGAAGTTTGTTGGTGTCATTAGTAGGTTTCACTCTCTAAAGGTATATTAATTCATATAACTTTATCTCAGGTTGGAAAGCATCCAGTAGAAGAATGTTTACATTCAAAGCCTAAGGTCATTTATCCCTTAAGCTCACAGCTGCATAGCTCGTGTGGTTTGTTACAGCCTTTGGATTTGAACACTGACTTCTCAGCTCACGATATTAACTGTGGTACTGATCTTCTTCTCAGCGTCTGCGGATGATGATCAAGCCTTTGGTACTGGTGAAGGCTCAGGAAAATGGTCCAGACCAGCAGACAGAAAACCAGAATCAGAACCCTGCTACTGAGGAAGCCTACATCTAAAAAGGTCTGATCTCTGTCTCAACAGCCAGACTGGCACTCCACAATAGAAGAAACGTAATCAAGGTTGGGAACAACCACTAGACTTTTATGTCTGCTTTTATTCACCTACCTCCTGGGGACATGTGAAACCAACCTGATTACACAGTTATTTTTAGGGGGTTTTCTGTATGTTTATTTGTAAAATACAAAGTTATAAAACTTATGATGACAAGCAAATTATCCAGCAAAGTTATTGTGATATTATGAATTTCATTATGCAAAAAAGTTAGCCTTTTTAGAAAAGGAAATGTGACTTAGTAAAATACTGTATATTGAATATATATAATTAAAATTTGGAGGCCCATGTTGATTCAGTAGTAATGTGCTTTGAGTAATCTACTAAACTCCAACTATTGTACAAAAGGGTTTATCGGTAAAATGCATTTTGCATGTCCATGAAATAAATACATCAAAATAAATGCCGTGTAGTAGATGAAAACACAATTTGAAAGTTAGCAAAGTGGAAATGGAATATTGAGCAATTTAAGGCAAAGACAATGTGGGAACATGCAACAGGTAAGGCCAAATTTGCTTTTATTTTTAAAACAAATTTAACTAGACTATCAATCCCCTGCAAATCCTGCACTTCACCTGAAATGTTTACTACCCGTGTCTGGGGATACAACTGAAAAGCACAAGTACAGTATGGAATTTCTAAGTGTCCAATTTATTTTTGGCATGAGTGAAAACTGTGACCACAGCAAAAATAACATATATAATACATAGCAAGAGACTGTTATAATTGTTTCTTTGTTTTCTAAAGAACAATAACTTTGTATGTTGTCCAAATCTTTTTTGTAGAACAAGTTTTAGGTTATTTTCTATGTGTGTGAGTGAGAAGGACCAAATTAATGCTCTGAGACTGCTGACCCACTGAGCATTTATGGATTAAATAAAGAGTCTAATTAAAGTAATTATTCGAGAATCCCCTTTTGACTCGGTATAGAGCAGCAGGGTAGTGAAAAGAGCAGTCGCCCACAAGCACAGTTTGAATCTGTAAACTAGTACCTCTAAAAATAAAGGCGTAGCCATTACAAAACTCCTACATGTGCACTTCTTCTGGAGAGTAAACATTTGGAAAATGGTGACTTTTCTTCAACTGACACCAATTAAGTAGAAGGAAAAGTGTTACACTGAAATAAAACAATACTAATTCAGAGTTTAAACTGTGAGAGCTAATAGGCTGCAGTGTAGCGTGCGAGATGATTTCTATCATTACTACCATTATTCTGTCTGGAATCGTTTACTTGTGTATCTATTTAGTAACCCACTTCTCAGGAACAAAGGTGGAAGTGACCAAATTCTCTCAGATACTACCACGATACACTGAAACAATGAATGCTGTATTAAACGACAACAAGTGTGAAAATGGTCATTTTTTTTCCCATAAATTCAACATGCTACCTGAAGCAGCAACAAAACATAAAGTCGCAAACCAGAATGAAGACTTCACACATATATATATATATATATATATATATATATATATATATATATATATATATATATATATATATATATATATATATATATATATATCTACTTGGGTACATTCAAAAGCTGATCCAAATTCCTGCCTCTTTTCTGTGTGCCATCTGCTCTGCTAGCATATTTTCTTTCACTGTGTATAAGCTGTCATGGCCTTCACAGATGTTGGTAGAAGCCATAAGTTGTTCCTATTCTGTCTTATATTTCCAATACAAGAAATGGGCAGATAAACTTTGGCACAGACACAGAACAAAACTGGCTGAAGTACTGTTAACAGGACATAGCCAGATGCTTTATAGGCCAACACCACCGAAAACTACTCCTTTTCATAGGGTGAATAAAAACCTATTATAACATATCAAGTTGCTCGGCAATATAATAGCATATGAGTAGATCCTGACTTTGTGACAGACCGCAGATATCGCTGTATTACTACGAAGAAGGATCAAGAGAATTTGCTTCTGTGGCAGCTATGCGACAGGAATCAGGTTGAACCAGTCCCATCTTTTCTTTTATTTATGTTTTTTTTTTCAAAGATGTGTTTAAATGTGCAATGACTAAAGGGTTCCGTGAATTTTGTATAAAGTTACCATATTGCAGTTTTCTCTCTTGAATGATGTTGTAAACTGGACTGTGTAATACATGTATCTGTGAATGTCCGTACAACCTGGATTTTTTTTCCTTTCGTCTAAATGTTGAACAGAAAAAAATGATATCATTTGCTGTTTTCTGCAATAATACTGTCTCAGAAACTAAAGCACATATCTCTCAACTGTAAAAAAACAAAAAAACAAAAAACTATGAAGATAACAGCAGAATAGATTAATAATAAAGAAGATTATAATAATGATAATAACAATAATGTAATAGAAATGTCTAGTCAGAGAATATTGTTTTGTATATTTCTAGCTGTTTCATGGGCCTAATGTAAAATATTATATGTAAAAAATATAATAAATGTCTAGATGGTGTTATATGAAAAAGCATGATTGCAATATATGTTATCTGCAAAATAAATAAAGTTCTATAGATTATAATCCCTGTGTTATGTGTTCATTCCATTTAAAGGGTAGGTGAATAAAAGTCCACTCCATTTTAAATGCTTTCATTTTCTAAAATTATTTATTTATTGTGGAACTATGCAGGTGGTTAATTGTGGAACAAATTGTTTTATGAAGAACATTTTACCCTTAGAAAAAACTTATTTTCTGTTTCTATAAAGAAAGATGTTATTGCACATTACTGACCTGTTCAGTACTATGGTAGTTTTTTGCACGAGTTGGTGAATATGCAATCAGCTCTGTCACTACAAGAGATGTTTGCTGTAAACATAACTGATAGTTTCTGACAAAATGGTTCATGCCGCAGTAACATTCTTGTGACACCTGCACTGAAGGCTGGGCCAGCACAGACACTACAGCTATTTTGGCTAAAAGCCAATTCCTCCAAGCCACAATGCACAATACATTAACCTACATTCATTTCAGTCCAAATAATCATCAAATAACCAAAATATGCACATAGAGAAGGAAGCGTGGGAAGAGGACACATTGTAATTTAACGGAATTTATGACTAGGGAAGACCAATAAGATTGGAACAAAATATGTGACAAAGTGATATTTAAATAATAAATGTAACCTTCAAAAATGTGGGGGTTTTTAAAACCACATTTCCTTTTTTATTCTGAAACTGTAAAAGCGTATTGTCAAGAATTAGATGTAATGAAACAGATGTAAATGTCAGTAGTTTAGAGTCACTATTTAGCATCAAGGCTATGGACTTGTCACTCTATAAAAGAGCACACCAAGCTCAATATGGCAAAGTCTGGGAGTAGCACTTCCACAGGAAGCCAGTGTGCTTTTAACTGCTTGTCTGATAATGAGATTTAATCTCCCTTTCCAGCCAAATAATTGCAGCAAGCTCCAACACAGAAAATCCCATCATGGCCCAATTTTTGCAGCAATTGACGAAGTGAGGATAGGTAAGTAAGTAAAGCATTGTTTCAGTTTCTAGCTAAAATCCAGTTCATGTCTTGTGAAACTACACAAAATTCAAATTAAAAAAATCATTGGAGCCTGAATCTCCTTAACCAAAAAAGACATGATATGGAAGTTACTCTGTTCTGTACAGCCACTGTTTGCCCTTACAGCGGCACCATATAGTGATTGCAATAGCAGAGATTTCATGCCAGCCGTGCAGAAGAAGGCATGGGAAATCAAGACACAAGACAGAGTAGTGAGGGTACATTGGATATATAATGCAGCAAACTGTGTTTGTCATGTGAGCATGGCAGCAAATGCCATTCATCATCCTAAACTAGTCACAGGCTTTTGGTCAGCTTAAGTACATGGGATAGAATATAATGTGAATGCAGAATATGTAAAGCATTTATTGTCATTGTGTTGGTGGTGACATCATCACTTCTTGCAACATTTTTAAGTAATGTTCCTTCAGTTTGTGTTAGGCTTGCAGCCAATGCCAGATGTGAAACCATTTACAGTATATGTGCTTGCAGCTCAGCCATTTTAGCTATTTCCTTAGCTAGTATAGTGCAAACACACACCACTATTGGTGGTTAAACACTAGTCACAGTATTACTGTTTCCTTCTGAGAACCAAGTCTAACCCCGGGGTTTGGGATTTGAAAAAGCAACCCTACATATTTGTTTAATATGTGCACTGAAGAACATATCCTGGTCAAAAATGACTCCAAGGTTCCTCACAGTGTTACTGGAGGCCAAGGAAATGCCATCCAGAGTAAGAATCTGGTTAGATACCATATTTCTAAGATTTTCAGGGCCCGAGTACAATAACCTCAGTTTTATCTGAATTAAGAATCAGAAAGTTAGCGGCCATTCAGGTCTTTATGTCTTTAAGAGATTCCTGCAGTTTAACTAATTGGTGTGTGTTATCTGGCTTCATGGACAGATAGAGTTGGGTATCATCGGCATTGCAGTGAACATGTATACTATGTCTTCTGATGATACAGCCTCAGGGAAGCATGTATAAAGTAAACAGAATTGGTCCTAGCACTGAACCCTGTCGAACTCCATAATTGACCTCAGTGTATGAAGAAGACTCTCCATTTACATGAACAAATTGGAGTCTATTAGATAGATATGATAGAAACCACTGCAGCACAGTACCTGTAATACCTACAGAATGTTCTAATTGCTCTAACTGGATTGTAAATACTCAGCTATTAACCTAACATGAATGTCTGCAGGAAATCTGAGCACCAACGAGCACGCAAACATCTGACAGAATCCCCACAGCCAAACCTAAAATGTTTTTGCTAACCACTGTAATAATTTGCTGCCCAACAAATACAAATATTATAAAAACTGTAACATTTTCTCTGGGCACTCCAGCTTACTCCCACTGACTGAAGAAAACTGGTGATTCTAAATTGGCTGGGATAGTTGTGGGATCCCCCCACAACCCAAATTACAAACACGGTAGAAATTGCATGGATGGTGCCTCAACATAGGAAATAGGTTTATCCATCCGGATGTCTGACCGGCCTGAATATGACAGCCAAGGCTTTTTTCCTCCCTATCTGGAACCAATACCACCGTACTGGCGTTCCCTACCACCGTCACCAATACCACCGTACTGGCGTTCCCTACCACCGTCACCGGATCTGCGGAAGCGACGCAGGAGACGGGGTAACCGTGGAGGTCGTCTTGTGAAGCTGAAATCCTGGATTTCTCATTTTCCCCATGAGCTCCGCTGCATCCGCCGCTTTTGTCCGCAACTATTGGTGCCATTGCGTGCCTTGGATCCGGTGGACTCCTGGCTGGTTCCTGTTGTTGG